TCTCGCCAATAGCGCTTTTGTCTCCTAGCAGAGGTGGGTTCATGACTCGCCAAAGCTCTACCAGGAGACGTGCGCGTGGCGCCCAAGGTCTTTGACCTCCAATGTCCCACGGCTCATGGTGTTCCAACCATGCCATTCCTAGGATGAGGTCATACCCTGCATCCAAGTCCAAGCCTAGACAGCGTTCCACGCTATCAAAGTCAAGAAACTTGACTCCGAGGTCCACAGGGACCTTCGGGACCGTGCCACGCGTCCCTGTCGCTAGGCAAACAGAGACGATGTCACCCAACCGCCTTTCAGCGCCTCGGCATACAGCTGACTCCCTTCCTCCGTGAAACGTCGAGTATAATTGCCCGACACCCCGGAATCGATGAGGACCTTCCATGGCTTCTCGAAGCCCTTTGCGGTCGCCTCTACAACCAGCAAGCCCAGCTCGCATACGAGTTTCGTGTTCAAAAGCACGGAGCTCTTCAAGGCTGGGCCCTGTTGACCTCTACCTCCCTGAGGTTCAACAGAACTCAGTTCTTCTCCAGTAGGTCGCCCTGCGCCTACTGGGTATTGTCGTTTCCCCGCGACGAACCAGACTGGTAGGCATGGGGGCGATGGCTCGAAGAACCTTGACGCGCCTTGCGCCGGGGACAACCATTCCGATGGTGACGGGTGTCTCCACAGACAAAACACCGTCGTGTGTTTGTGAGCCGCCCGGCAGCTCGGAGTTCTGCTCCCTCGTCCTCAGCAACGCTGAGATCCATCGGCACAGGCCCGCTCGACGAGCTGTTGGAGTGTGCATTCCAACCAAGTCGTGCCGAATTGAAATTGAATTTGGCTTTCAATGCCCAATTCAGCGCCTCTTCAAACGAAGACGGATGCACACGGAAAACTTCCATTCTGGCCACACTAGTGCGGAGGTTTCCATAAAGACGGTCACTGTGACTGCCTTCGGAAGGGGATCTGCTGCCATCCCGGCAATGAGAGTGCGCATTTCTTGGACAAAGTCCACCAATTTCTTGTTGCCCTGTCGGGCGGCAAGGAGACGCGATCGTTCGCGATACGCCTAATTAGGCGGCGAGAACACTCGTCAGAGCTGCAATTTCAGCTCTTCCAAGGATGGAAAGGCAGCTTCGACCGAAA